ATATTTAGCAGCAGCTTACAGCAGATAGAAGGTAACACAGTGGCAGTAGAGGCTGAAATGTAAACAAGGTCATCACTCTCCTGTGCCTCAATATTGCACTGAAGTCACTCTTCAAAGTGATAGACCAAAAGGCAGGTGTTGGCGAAGATCGAAGAGGCTGAAGCCAGGTGTTGACTTCCATTCTGAAGTCATATATTACATATTCAAGTAGTACAGCTCTGGGGATTCCTGGGTCGCTTGGAGCAAAGTTAAAAACCACATGCAGGCACTTTGGAGCACCTATTACTGTATCCAAGTATACTACCTATAACTTTAGAACAGGTCTGCTTTAACCACTTCCAGACCGGACACTTTTACCCCCTTCCTGACCAGGGCAATTTTCAGCTTTTAGCGCTATCACACTTTGAATGACAATTGCGCGGTCATGCAACACTGTACCCAAATGAATTTTTTACCATTTTTTTGAGACAGATAAAGCTTTATTTTGGTGGTATTTATTCACCACTGGGATTTGTATTTTTTTTGCTATGTAAATGAAATGTCCAAAAATTTTGAAAATGAATATTTCATCATAAATCTTAGCCAAAATTTATTCCGTTATCTTTTTAGGGAAAAAAAAATCCAAATTAGTTTATAAGCAAAAATTATATTTTTTAAACATTTTTTTTTACATTTTTATTTTATTTTTTTATATTATTATTTTTTATTTTTTTACATACTGTCACCCTAGCAGTACAGTGTCACCATGGGGACACTGTACTACTTGTGGGGGGTGATGAAGATTTATTTATTTTTTTTACACTGATTGCTTTTACACCCATATAGGATGTAAAAACAATCATTTCTCTTTCTCTCTGTGTGCATTCTTGCACTCATTGAGAAGTACTGAGTGAGCTGTGATTGGTCACAGCTTGTCACATGGTACAAGGCTTTTGTGAATAGCCTTGTACCATGTGACCTCTGTGATCATTCACAGATTTCACACGTAGTAAGCAATGATCTCACAAGTGACATCTTGCTTACTACTTTGCATGTGATCACTGATTGGTCAATCAGTGATCACATGATCGGGACCTCGTACAGAGGTCCCGTCCGATGATCGGTGTTTCACTGTGTCCGGAGGACACAGCGGGCACCGGATCACGGTGCTGCGCGCTCCCAGGGAGCACGCACAAGCAGGGTGCGGGGAGGCCTTTTATAGACGGCCACCCGACCCTGCAGTGCCACCGTCCGGCCGTTTATATACAACGGCCGGACGGGAAGTGGTTAAAGGAGACCTGTATTGAGAGAAGAAAGCAGGCTTCCATTGTTTATTGTCTGCAAATGTTATATAAGAAATACCTCACACGCAAAAACCCATGTAAAACCACATAAAACCACACTTAGGTTAGGTTCACAGTTTTGCAGGTCACGTTTGCGCAGAAACAGCGGTCCATTCATTTGAATGGGCTGTTGTGCCTGCGATTCACGCAGGAAAAAGGTTCCTGCAGTATTTTAAAAATTCAGCATCTGGGAAATTGCATGGTGCTTTTGTACCATGAGATTTGACTGTGGTTCCCACACCTGGAAACGCACTGCGGTTTTAGATGCATGGAGGGGAATGGCAACCCTGCACATTTCTACAGAGCACTGCATTTTGGTTGCGGATATCACTGATTATCGCACCCACACCACCCGCAATAGTGTGAACCTAGCCAAGTAGTGGATAAATGCATATAGATAAGTGTTTTCGAGCTCTTTTCAGCAATGGAGCTGGGAAACATTTCTTAGCCGTGATATTTTTACTTGATGTATCCCTGGAAACAAATATGCAAATGATTACAGCATACATGCTAAAATGTGCATGTGAAAAAAAGGTATGCAGGGAACAAAAAGTCAATTTCCATAGTCTACCAATACTGATCTAATAAGTCCCAAACCCACATTGCATATTAACCTTAAAACGGTTGTAAAGGCTCAAGATTTTTTATCTTCTGTGTTTAGCAGTGCCTCCAGCCCCCTCAATACTTACCTGAGCCCCATCGAGATACAGCAATGTGCACGACAGCCTCGGCTGTCCCGGGTCTCTGCCTCATTGGCCAACCAATGAGGAGAGAGGGGGTGGGGCCAAGCTGTGGCTCTGTGTGTGAATGGACACACGGAGCAGTGGGTGCCCCCATAGCAAGCTGCTTGGTATGGGGGCACCCGACAGAAAAGCAGGAGCCAGGAGCACAAGCGTGGGTCCCGAGAAGAGGCGGATCCAGGCTGCCCTGTGCAAAACCACAGAACAAAAATGAACCTTTAGTATTGCTTTAAAGTGATAGTAACCCTTATTTATTTTTTTTCATTAACATGTTATACTTACCTGCTCTGTGCAATGGATTTGCAGAGCGACCCCAATCCTTTTCTTCTGGGGTCCCCTGCTGAAGCTCCTGGCTATTACCCCCTTCCAAGCCCCCCCCCATAGCAAGCTGCTCCCCATAGGCCGTGACTGCCAATGACTCCCACTGCTGCCACCATGTCCATCAAGGAGAAAGAAAGCAGAGAGAGGACTCTGCTCTCAGGCACAGAACTGGATTAAGATTGCTCAAGTAAGTATTTCAAAGGTCAGGGGGGGGGATATTGTGATGCAGAGAATGCATTAAGCTGAAGAAAAAAAAATCTTCCACCCTTACAACCACTTTAAATCTCCCTGATCTCTGAGTCTTACCTAAACATCTCACCCATTGCGAGCAGAGAACACTACAATATAAAAGGCTATGGTTGTGGTTAGTAGAGGATTCTATGTCAGCAATCACTACTCAGATTTCTTTCTTATTTTAGCAGTTAGTGCAGGCACTACCACAGAGAACCAAATTTGGATTGCAGGCAAAAGAATGAAAGAATAAAGGGACATTACTGCTTAATACACACAGCATTCTATATAAAACAATAGTATTTATGCATTTAACCATTTGCTGTCCATAGACCGTATATAAACAGCCTGAAATTCAAGTGATCAAAACAAGCTCAAGACTCCAGCTGCAGTTGTGAATTTTGTACGTTTTTTTTTTCTCCAACAGCTGACTTTTCAGTAAAAGTCAATCCAGGAAGCTGTAGAGCTGCCTTATTGCTTTTACGGTACTAAGAATTGATGCCGCCCCCAATCTCCTCAGTGGCTAAAAACCCAAAAGTGACCAGTATTTCCTGACTTGCTGGACCAGAGATGGCCACCATATACGGGGAAGCAACTAATCAAGCATGATCTGGGCTTGATCAGCTGCAGCAAAACTCAGAGCTGACATGGGAGTCTTATGTCTGCATAACAAAAACTCATTACCTGCTCCTGCTTTCACATAGGGGGCATATTAGTCCCTTTGCAATAGCAATAAAGTTAAAGAACAACAAGGGACAACTTTTTTTTTTTTACGTTTTGCATAGAGTATAGTGGTATTAGAACACCTGCCATGGTATTGTTGTCCCCATTCTACTGGTCTTGGTGGCTGTCATCATCGAACGTGAAACAAAAATCACAATGTTTGGGGTTTTACCAGAACAGGAATATAGGGAAACCTTCCTTTGGGAAAACTTGTTCTGTGACTTTGGTAAAAACCTCAATTTGGAAAGATTTTCTTTCACTTTTTTAGCTGCGGGACATAAAGGCAAACCTCCAAAATGGCCAAAAAGGCAACCAGATTTTAAATCTTACTCTATTCAAAATGGAAAATAAAAGTTTGCCTTTAGTTCTTCTGTAAAAAAAAAAAAAAAAATACAAATTTTAAAAATTAAACTGTAATAAAACTAAAAAAGTTCAAAAGCAACCCCATCATCCTGCGCGCACACACAGAAATGCAAACACAGGAGAAGGGAGTAAAAAGTTATTGGGCAGCCTGGACAACCTGATTGAACAAGCTTTTAGCCAATGCATACTAAAAATTTAATTCAAAGATAAAACCACTGGTTCAGATAGCTCCTACACAATAAACCTTAATCCCGATGAAGAGGGACTTCATGATTAACCCCTGAAACATGTTGGCTGTTAACTCTTGATAGACTTATCATAGCAAATATTATACCTGGAACACTCCCTAGAGATTGGCGCTCTCATCTTTTCACTTTAAATAGACAGCAGTTTTAATCTCCCCCAATGATCAGACTACAACATTGTAAATTTGGTAAGCAAGATGTGAGGCTGCAGCTGGGGGCCAATCTGTGTCAGTTATTTATGAACACAGCCAAAAACTGCTCAGGCACCAGGATTTACATGGCTCCATCATCGGAGCCAGTATCTCAGCCCCAGAAGTAGATACTGACTCTGAATAACACTTAAACAAAGTAATCTCTGTCTTTCTAAAGAAAAAAGCAGATGAACACTTTGGAGGAGCACTGTGATCTTGGTAAGGGTAATATATTCCTATATACACTATATTGCCAAAAGTATTGGGATACCTGCCTTTACATGCACATGAACTTTAATGACATCCAAGTCTTAGTCCGTAGGGTTCAATAATCAGTTGGCCCACCCTTTGCAGCTACAACAGCTTCAACTCTTCTGGGAAGGCTGTCCACAAGGAGTGGGTCTGTGGGAAGGTTTGACCATTCTTCCAAAAGCGCATTTGTGAGGTCAGGCACTGATGTCGAACAAGAAGGCCTGGCTCACTCTCCGCTCTAATTCATGCCAAAGGTGTTCTATCAGGTTGAGGTCAGGACTCTGTGCAGCCCAGTCAAGTTCCTCCACCCCAAACTTTCTCATCCATGTCTTTATGGACCTTGCTTAGTGCACAGTCATTTTGAAACAGGAAGGGGCCATCCTCAAACTGTTCCCACAAAGTTGGGAGCATGAAATTGTCCAAAATGTCTTGGTATGCTGATGCCGTAAGAGTTCCCTTGACTGGAACAAAGGGGCCAAGCCCAACCCCTGAAAAACAATCCCACACCATAATCCCCCCTCCACAAAACTTTACACTTGGCACAATGCACGTCCATCGGATTACCAAACAGAGAAGCATGATTTGTCACTCCAGAGAACACATCTCCACTGCAGAGTCCAGTGGCGACATACTTTACCCCACTGCATCCGATGCTTTGCATTGCACTTGGTGATGTAAGGCTTGGATGCAGCTGCTCGGCCATGGAAATTCATTCCATGAAGCTCTCTATGCACTGCTGTGCTAACCTGAAGGCCACACGAAGTTTAGAGGTCTTTTGCTGTTGACTCTGCAGACAGTTGGCAACTTCTGCGCACTGTGTGCTTCAGCATGTGCTGACCCCGCTCTCTCATTTTACATGGCCTACAACTTCGTGGCTGAGTTGTTGTTCCCAGTTGCTTCCACTTTGTTATAATACCACTAACAGTTGACTGTGGAATATTTAGTAGCAAGGAAATGTCACGGATGGACTTACTGCACAGGTGGCAACCTATCACGGTACCACGCTTGAATTCACTGAGCTCCTGAGAGCAACCCATTCTTTCACAAATGTTTGTAGATGCGGTCTCCATGCCTAGGTGCTTGATTTTATACACCTCTGGCCATGAAGGTGACTGGAACACCTGAATCCAATAATTTGGAGGGGTGTCCCATTACGTTTGGCAATATAGTGTATTTGAACGCTGGCATATTACGGAACATGCACTTAATGAAGAACATATGTAACGTCCATTTTAATGTTTATTCTTTTTATACATACATGGACTTAAAAATTAAATGCATTATATTTTCAGATAGATAGGAGTGCTACAACTAAAACCCCTGGTGTTATTTTATACATGTTATTTAAAACTGAAATTCATAAACATTAAATCTGAACTCTGCACATATCCTTTTAATTCCACGTCAGTCCCTAAAAGCAGCCCATAGATGAGTCATTTGTTTCGTTCAAGCAGTGGGTTGAATGGATGGTCGAAAACAAGACATTTTTTCCAATGGTTGACAGTGAAAAATGTCTAAATTCCCCCATCCACATTTGAGGTGGAGGGGAAATCCTCCCAGTGGAGCCTTTACATTCTGACAGCGGGAAGACTTCCCTACTGTCAGATTGCACAGATCAGAGCTGCCAGCTATAGTCTACAGCGCTGAACAAGCAGGGAAACAGTGCAGTTGTACAGAAGTCAATAGGTAGATCAGCTTCTATACAACCAAAGAGGTGATGCATAGATTGAAATTCGGTCAGTCCCTGCTGAATTGGCCAAATTTCGATCCATGTATGGCTGGCTTAAATAGCCCTTTATATCCTGCTTGCAGTTATGTAAAGTCCTGCCAGCTGCATCTTCATCAGAGCCTGTGTTTTGTGAAAGGCAAAGCACAGAGAGGAGGAAGAGACACTACACCGGCGTGGATTATAGCAGCCTTGCTGTTGCTGGCAGATGGAGGAAAGTACAGTGGGAGCTGTACTACTCAGGGAGACACAGGAAAGTTCATAGCAAGTTTTGAGCAAGAACACTACAAATCTGCAAAAAAGATGTAAAGAGCTATAAGGAACTACAATGGTATGAAAAAGATGGTGCCCAGACTGCAGTTTTAATATGTAATTCTTGCTTTAGCTGCTCCGTGAGCCTAGTCTAAATGTGCAGGGAGAACAAAAACAGATGACACGAAGCAAGACAGCAATAAGAAATCAAAATGATTGTGCAATCTAAAGCTGCAAACATCACCAGAGTGAGGCAGATGTAATTGTTTTGAGATTGTCACATGATCCATTATGGTAACATGCTGGGCTTGGCAGCCGTTTGAAAATTGTCAGCTACGCAGTGCAGATGTGAAGGCTGGCTTTCTGCTGCTACACAAGGAAAGCTGCTCCAGGAAACAGGATACCTCTACTATGTCACAAGAAGACATGACAGCTATTAATAAAGCCTGAGCAGCCACTTCTATGTGACAGCATATGTCTGCAATGACAAGAGAACAAATCTACCCATACAAGGCAGATTTAGAATACAGGTCAATCATGAAGCACATATTGTACCATCAATCCATGGGTTGTGTTTACCTCATCTTAGCCACTGAAAACAGAGTACAAAGTTGAATAAAAGGTCTAGGGAAACCAAACTCCTCATTTGAGAAAAAAATAAGAGCCTTATTGGTAAATTACTAGATAGAAGTACATTTTCAAAGTATAAAAATAAGTAGCCGTAAGTCTGGGGGAATAATTAGCATTTTTTTTCATCAGCAGAACTGAGGCCAAGATGGATGAAGCTAAATACTGGGCAACTCTTAGGAAAGGCTTGTCTAGGATCATTGTCTTTTTAGCTCCTTAGCCTCCATCTACAGGTGAAACTCGAAAAATTAGAATATCGTGCAAAAGTTCATTTTTTTTCAGTAATGCAACTTAAAAGGTGAAACTAATATATGAGATAGACTCATTACAGGATGCTTCAATAGTGGCCTTCAGCTTTTCTGCATTGTTCGGTCTCATGTCTCTCATCTTTCTCTTGGCAATGCCCCATAGATTCTCTATGGGGTTCGGGTCAGGCGAGTTTGCTGGCCAATCAAGCACAGTAATCCCACGGTCATTGAACCAGAAAACCCCAAATCCACAATCTCAGAAAATTAGAATATTGTGAAAAGGTGTAAAATTCTAGGCTCAGAGTGTCCCACTCTAATCAGCTAATTAAGCCATAACACCTGCAAAGGGTTCCTGAGCCTTTAAATGGTCTCTCAGTCTGGTTCAGTAGGAATCACAATCATGGGAAAGACTGCTGCTGACCTGACAGTTGTGCAGAAAACCATCATTGACACCCTCCATAAGGAGGGAAAGCCTCAAAAGGTAATTGCAAAAGAAGTTGGATGTTCCCAAAGTGCTGTATCAAAGCACATTAATAGAAGGTTATGTGAAAGGGAAAAATGTGGAAGAAAAAGGTGCACAAGCAGCATGGATGACCGCAGACTAGAGAGCATTGTCAGGAAAAGGCCATTCAAAAGTGTTGGGGACTTTCACAAGGAGTGGACTGAGGCTGTAGTCAGTGTATCAAGAGCCACCACAGAGTATGGAGGAAGAATGGAGAGGCACACACTGCAAGATGCTTGAAGTCTAGTGTGAAGTTTCCACAGTCTGTGTTGATTTGGGGAGCCATGTCATCTGCTGGTGTTGGTCCACTGTGCTTCATTAAGTCCAGGGTCAACGCAGCCGGCTACCAGGAGATTTTGGAGCACTTCATGCTTCCTTCCGCAGACGAGCTTTATGGGGATGATGACTTCATATTCCAGCAGGACTTGGCACCTGCCCAAACTGCCAAAAGCACCAAAACCTGGTTCAATGACCGTGGGATTACTGTGCTTGATTGGCCAGCAAACTCGCCAGACCTGAACCCCATAGAGAATCTATGGGGCATTGCCAAGAGAAAGATGAGAGACATGAGACCAAACAATGCAGAAGAGCTGAAGGCCGCTATTGAAGCATCCTGGTCTTCCATAACACCTCAGCAGTGCCACAGGCTGATAGCTTCAATGCCACACCGCATGGAGGCAGTAATTGCTGCAAAAGGGGCCCAAACCAAGTACTGAGTACATATGCATGCTTTTACTTTTCAGAGGTTTGATATTGTTCTATGTACAATCCTTGTTTTATTGATTGCATGTAATATTCTAATTTTCTGAGATTGTAGATTTGGGGTTTTCATGAGCCGTAAGCCATAATCCTCACAATTATGACAAATCACGGCTTGAACTATCTTGCTTTGCACGTAATGAGTCTATCTCATATTAGTTTCCCCTTTAAGTTGCATTACTGAAATAAATGAACTTTTGCACGATATTCAAATTTTTCGAGTTTCACCTGTAGTTTTGGGTCTCTTGCAGACAAACAGTTACACTTTTCTGGTTTTTGACACTTTCGCTTCCAGAGCCTTTTTTTCTTTATACATTAAAAAAAAAATAATTTTAGGTTGGAAGATTAGGTAAAATTCCCAGTTAAGAAGTTAATCAAAAGCAAATTTTCAGAACAAAAATGCAATATATTACTCAATTTTTTTTATAAAACATGAAAGATGAGGTTTTGCCAAGTACATAGATACCCAACATGTAAAGCCTTAAAACTGTGCATTCCAGTGAACCAGCCAAGAGATTCAATGCCCCAAATTGTCCAGACGCATGTGCAATGCTTTAAAAGCACCTACAGAATTGTTTTCACTTCAACCTGCATGGCAATATGTAAGATGTATAGTGCAAGCAAATTTTCTGTAAATACTCATGTTTATGTACATAGGAGCATGTACATGGGGGCTCAAATTTTTTTTGGGGGGGAGGGCTTAAGTGTTTGGGTAGAGCTTTAATTTATTGCATATTTCACTTACACACATAGCAGTGTGATAGCATATTAATAGTGACAGGTTCTTCTTAATGAGACATCAAGGGGCTATTACACCTCTAATGTCTCCCCTGTACTACGCTGAGGCTAATAGAGCACAAATCACGCTCCATTAGCTTCTTCTGTGGCCACAGCATCTGGGGAAAGTGACAGCAATGACTGGAAGCGGCATCCAGGTCTTCCTTCCCTCTACCCGGCAACACACCGTCATGCTGGTCCCAGGTCAGCAGGTGAGATAGCACAGCCCAGGACACATGACACAGAGGAACCAGTTCCGAGGGTTCGGGGAAGCAATCCAGCAGGTGTAGTCTCCGGGGGTTGCTTCTATCTGAAAGCCAACAGTTGGCTTGTGTTTTTTACATGGATTGTCAAACATTACATTGCATCAAACACAACCAATGCTGGCTTATCTAGGGAAAAAAATGGCAGTTTATTTTTAAACACACGCAATTACTATTTTCCCCAACATAATAGGTTTGGACATGTTTGCTAATGATCAAGACAAAAGATTAAAACCCGGAACTGAGAAAATAGAAGCCTTTTGTGTGTGCGACATCCTCTCATCAATTGAGATTCCAGAGAAAAAAGGGGGGTACAGGTTGTAAGGAGATACAAGTAATAACAGACAGATAGCTCATCTCCTGACATCCTGGGGACACCCACAGAATCTATCTGAAAGAAAATTTTGAAAGTAAAAGGTTTATTTTGGTTCAAGCATGCAATATGAAATGATACACGGAGTTCTCGGATTGACGCCACAACATTTTATTCCGATATTAAAAGCAACCTTCTAAATGAAAGACTGCAGCTGTCATCCCACATACCTCAGATTATTGTTGTATATACTCAGTAAGGGAAAATACCAAAAATAACTCAATTCTTATTAGCTCATAAAATCTTTGTTAACCAGTTACCTACCATGTTATAGCCGAAGGGCAGCTACAGACCGTTTGTCTGGTTCTGGGACGATGTCCCTGGACGTCATTCCAGAACATGCCCCCTTGGCACCCCCAGTGCAGCAGGTGATCGCTGTGTCCTACGGACACAGCTGATCACGTGATACGGTAAACAGCCAATCCCGGTGGCCTTTTACCATGTGAT